CCTTAACTGTCACCCCCCATTTTTTAAAATAGGCATGAAAGTGCACTATCCAAACTTAAATTGTTGTAATTTATGAACACTTTGGAATACAGATCTAAGGTTGGTCTCTTTTTAAAGAAGAAAATTAGCAGATTGTTGCAAAAGTTCCAAAAGTTCCAAAAGTATCAAAAAGTTATAGAAGTTTAAATTTACTGTAAAGAAAATGCACTATACTAATTTTATTTTATTTTATATATAATAAATATTTTACATAACAGGTTTTACTCTAAAATTGGTATAACATTAAAGCCTTATGTCTAAAGTTATGTTCCAAATTTGAAGTTTATATGAAAATAATTTAGGTTCCTGTGAGATTTTATTTAGGGCGTTATACCACAAACAGCCACCGGGTGCCATCCATTGCATTTTTTAATGCATTTTTCTGTCACAAATGTCTAGATTTCTCTGTCAATATTACTTCTACCACCAAATATGGAATCCTGAGACTCAGACCTTTCCAATGATATGTTTTTTTGTCAAGTTTATTAAAAGTTTTGATTCTAAAAGACCATAATGCATTTTGTAATATGACACTCGACACCGCCCACTAAGGGGGAGGAGACCGCCAAAAGATTTTAAAGTTACCATTTCCATGGTAACGCAATGTCCGATTTCAAAAGGGTTTTCACAGGATGAATCTTGGGCTTCTAAGCTTTCAAATGATAAATAATTTATGATGATTACTAAAAGATTTGATAGAGAAAAAGGACAACAACAAAAAAAAAAAGCGCCAAGAGTCCCACAGATGGGACGGTGACAGTTAAGGGGTTAAGGATTTTTTTTTTGTTGCTTTATTCTGTGATGAACAATGTCCATTACTGTTGTATAAAATATCTCATTCCCATTACTGTAAAACTGTAAAAACATATTATTACATATTTTTTCATGAATAAATACTACATTTAAAAAATGTAGTACTGTAGTATTTAGTTTTTGCTAGTAAATTTTACACACAATTATAAAGGAATGTGAAGTAACAAATTCAATTCAATGTAAAATTTGGAAGTAAAAAAACTAAAAATGTATTTTCAATTTTTATTTTATAAAACGCGTAATCTTTGTTTTGTGTACAACTTTGAAAAATAATTTTTACAGTTGTATAAATACTTCATATAAATGAAAAATTATTATATATATGTAATCTTCACATTAAAATAAAGAGATTGAGATTTTTTTTTTTTTTTACATAGCAGTGATAATGTATTACATACAATATATAAAAATATAATAATGTGTATGTAAAATATTACTTTTTACCTTTTAACGTAATTTTGGGTGAAATATTTTCAATGTTGGCAGGTTTCACAAATGTATTTATTTCTGTGTTTAAAACAAGATAAACATATTAATTTTATATTTTATGTACCTTTATTTGTAAGGTTTTCCGAGATTAACCCATTACATTTACATATAAATATGATACATTTTTGTGTAAAACAAGACAAAATATTCATTTACATTTTTTTTTACTTTTTTACATTTATTCATAAGAATAGGATTTGCTGCAGTGTGGGTTCAATCTCTTCTAGAATTCGTTGCATCTGGACGAGCATCAATCTTCATCCACACACATTTCAGCTCATCACATACTGTCTCCCGCTTCACAGGAAAAGTGTCCCTTTCTGTCCTCCTCCTCAGCTTCTCTCTTTGGCCCCTTCACATTCTCTTTCTCCTTCTTCTCTCTTCACTTTTCCTCACACTTGTCATTTTCATCCCTTTCTCCTCCCCCGACATCACCCGTCACTAAACAGCCTATCCTGGACGCACACTGGGGGATTCTGCCACAGGTGGGTATGACGGGGCACTTCCCTGCATGCCACTGCCTGCGTCTCTGATCCCCGCCAGCTAGCGCTCATCTGCCCAATTACCATCAGCACTGAATGAGCACTAATTACAAAGTGCCATTATATGTCAGCGTGTAGCATTGCTCAGTCGACAGTCAGCCACTGCAAAGAGCAAAACTCTATTGGAGAATATAAAACTAACAGACGAATTTGGTGCTTCAAATCATCCAGTGGCACGTGCAACAGTTCAACCGGCAGATTTGGGTGAAAGTCTAGATTTGGTTCAGCTATTTTTCTTCATCCAACTAATCAAATTGTCTAATTGAATTAATTCTGAACGCTACTCGAAGTCTTCGTTTATGAGGATAATTTGATTGTGCCTATTGTGAGATATACGACTGTGTTCATTGTATAAAGACTGCGAAGTGTGGGTTGCACAAGTTTTATAAAATGGTGTGTGCAATAAACAGTGCTTGGTAATTAATCATGATGTATCTGTTACAAACGTTTGGGGTAAATAAGATTTTTTTTTTTTTTAAAGAAATTAATAGTTTTATTCAGTAAGGATGCATTAAACTGATCAAAAGTTACAGTAAAGACATTTATACACTCTAAAAAATGCTGGGTTAAATACAACCCGGTGCTGGGTAAAATAGGGACAAACCCAGCAATTGGGCTGTTTTGACCCCGTGGTTGGGTTACTACCCAGAAGGTTGGGTTAAACATTTAACCCAACCGCTGGGTCAAAACAGCCCAATTGCTGGGTTTGTCCCTATTTTACCCAGCACTGGGTTGTATTTAACCCAGCATTTTTTAGAGTGTAATGTTAACAAAAGATTTCTGTTTTTAATAAATGTTGCTGTTCTTTTGAACATTCTGATTATAAGACAAGCCTCAAATACAAAATGCATCATGGTTTCCACAAAAAATATTAAGTAGCTCAATTGTTTTCTACATTGATAAAAATAATTGTTTCTTGCCCAGCAAATCATCATATTAGAGTGATTTCTGAAGGATCCTGTGACACTGAAGACTGGAGTAATGATGCTGAAAATTCAGCTTTGATCACAGGAATAAATTACATTTGACAATATATTCAAATAGAAAACAGTTATTTGAAATTGTAATAATATTTCACAATATTGCTGTTTCTATTGGATTTTTGATCACATAAATGCAGCCTTGGTAAGCATAAGAGTTTCAAAAACATTGAAAAAAAAAAAATTCTTACCCACCCCAAAAATTTGACTGGTGTTATGACGTGTCTAGTAGATGATAATGTCTAATTTGATGCAAAAAAAAAGAGCCAGCAAGGGATAGAAGTACAATCTGTTTAATATGTTGCGCTGTTGTGTATGTGGGTGTTAATTATTCAGCCGACAAAACACAAGTCGTGCAAATTAGACAAAACCTAAAGACAGCACATATTGAATGGTCTGTACTTCCGTTCCGTCCCTCATAGCCTTGATTTTATTTGCATCATATTAAATATATAGCATCTACTCTGGCTAAAGTTCATTGACGTATCAGTGTTGGTTGCATGTGCAGGCCTTGCATGACCATATGGGCGAGTTACTTGTCATACGATTGGATACTTATATCAAAATTGACTTGCACTAATTGCAATAAAGATCCAACACTCTCAAAAATAAAGGTTCCAAAAGGGGATTTTCGATGCGACAGAAGAACCATTTTAGGTTCCCCAAAGAACCTTCCAGCTGTTAAAAGAACCATTTTTTCTTAGTGCGAAGAACATTTGAATCATCTCAAGAACCTTTTGTGCATATGAAAGGTTCCATAGATGTTAAAGGTTCCATCAATGCCATCAATAAAGAACCTTTATTTTTTTAAAGTGTAGAGTCTCATGCAGTGTCTGAAGGTTTGATGGTGGCATTTAGGTTATCTTTATTGTGACTGGGTTCAGAAAACCTACATCTTCTGAGCTGCTAACCGAGCTCCTCGACCTCTACGCCGCTGTAGAGCTGGAGGGGCCTTGAGTGATTGTGTTTGCCCTGTTCTGGAGTACTTCATAGAAATGACATTCTCTGCAATTAATTAAACCGAAATTACTTTCTTGTCCTAAAGAACTCTTAGTCTGTCCTCTGGCTTTACAACAGAAAAGTCGAAGTGAGTGAAACGGCCTTCATTCCTTCATCTGAGCTCTTAAATAGGCATTCATTAGATACAATTCAAGAAATCCAAGTTAGATTCATTGTAAAACTTATTTTTCCTTATCTAGAATGGTTTTGATGAAATGTACAGGGTTCAACAAAAAAATGACCATATAAAGAAGAGAGTCTACATGCATTCACACAACAATTTAAAGACTTGTTTTGGGTTTCTTAATGATTCTGATTTACTCGCACTAATGTCGACACTTAACGATGCTGCATGGCGCATTCATCACTCATTATGATAGCTGTTTCTGTTGGCTCTTCCGCAAATGTGCACCCCAGTGTGATGGTACTGAACGATGAAACCCAGTTAATCAGCAATAAGTATAAGAAACAAGCACCAGAAAAAAAAACCCTTGCAACATCATTTTCCCTTTGACAGATGGAGACAACGTTTTCAATAATGACCAATTCATTATTGAATATTTAAATTTATACACTCATAAAAATAAAGGTTCTAAAAGGGGGTTTTGCAGTGATGCCATAGAAAAACATTTTTGGTTCCTCAAAGAACCTTTCAGTGAACAGTTCTTAAATAAACCATGTTCAAGTGTGATGAACATTTGAAAAATCGAAAGAATATTTTTCCACTATAAAGAATCTTTTGTGGAAAGAAAAGATTCTATGGGTGCTTGAGGTTCTTCATGGAACCATCGATGCCTATTAAGAACCTTTATTTTTGAAAGTGTATTAATATTATGATTTCCATTTGCTTTATAAAAGAGAAAAAGGGCTTTTTCATTCATGGTAGATCTTGAATTGTGGTTCTTGCCCTTAGTTTCAAATTTTTTAATAGTAAACGCCATTGTTCTCCAACTCTCTCTCTGTCTCTCTCTCTCTCTCTCTCTCTCTCTCAAACAGATGGAGAAATCACCTCCAGACCCACGGTGCTGTTCCTCGGACCCTGGAGCGTGGGCAAGTCCTCCATGGTCAACTATCTGTTGGGTTTGCAGGACACTCCTTACCAGCTATACACGGGTAAACTGTCGTCTGTGCTGCTTGTCAAGTGGTTTTCGGTATCAAAGTATTTTATTACAAATGTGCATCATCTTCTGTTCATCCAGGTGCTGAGCCCACTACCTCAGAGTTTACCGTCATCATGCACGGCGAGAAGATCCGCACCGTGGAGGGCATCGTCATGGCTGCCGACAGCTCTCGCTCCTTCTCCCCGCTGGAGAAGTTCGGACAGAACTTTTTGGAGAAGCTGGTTGGCATCGAGATGCCCCACAAGCTCCTGGAGAGGGTCACATTCGTGGACACGCCTGGAATCATTGAGAACCGCAAGCAGCAGGAGAGAGGTACAGACTTCTCCATTGTATCCATTGATTCCCGTTATTTCAGGGCTCCCTCAGGTCCTTAAAAAGTCCTAAACCTAAATTGAAGTCATATAAATGTATTAAATGTAATAGTAAAAGTCTTTATTATCATTTTAAGAGGTCTTTGATTTAAGAGGTGTTCATTGAACTCAAATGCATTAAACTGATTTAAATAAAAATGAGCAGTGCATGTTTCACCATCGCACATTCTACAGGTTATGACAGTGTTTATTGCATATTTTATCTCTCTCATCTGTTCGTAGTGACCTGTTTTTATACAGTCTATGGTAGTGACGCATAGACATTTCAAAATAAGAGTCCCTGTGTATTTCAGTCTTTTTTGTAATGAAATGTCCGTCTAGAGAGGTACAAACTTCTCCATCATCGCCATTGATTTCTGTAATTTCATGGTTGGTATGGTTCCTTAAAACCCCAAATTGAAGGTCATAAAAAGTCTTAGATATGTTAAATGGTGCAGTCTTTATTACCATTTTAAGAGGTCTTCAGTTTAAGAGCTGATAATTAAACTGATTCATTAAACTGATTTCATTAAATGCAAGTGTTGCTTGTTCTACAGGTTCAGAGTAGTTGTCAGTCAATAATTGCATGCATTTATGACTATTTATGATCTACTGTTTATGAATTATGACAATGTTTAGTGCATTTTTTTTTCATCATCTGTGCCGTTCGAATGAGCAGCTGGAAGTAGTGACACATAGACATTTCAATATAAGAGTCAGGCTCTTTTATGTTCTTTTTAAGTTCAGAGTTATTTATACAATCTTTTTCTGGTTATTATTGGTTACACAATAAACCATATTTTACAGGAAGGGAAACATTATTTAACATATTCAGTATATAGATTTGACTAGTTCAGGTATATAAATATATATATAAATAAAACCTAATAAAGAAAAAAAAAATTGTAACATGAAATAAAATAAAATGTTTACTAAAATAAA